TAACTCCAGGGGGTAAGGCTAGCCACTTGCGGCCACACAAACGCAATAACGTAAAAGGGGAAAAGTGAGTTTAGGCGACTAATGATTTTATCCACAGCTACCCTTCTGTAGCAATTCAAATTATTAAATATAATATCACTTGATCATCGTGTCAACAGCCACATCAGGGAGGAGAAAGTGCAAGAAATTTCAGGGACAACAGAGTTTACCTCAGAACCGTTTGGTGATGTATTCTTTGTTGTTTCCCCTCTTCTCTTCCTCTTTCGGGATATTGAAAGGATAAGAATGGGTTTTTCATCAGAGAAATTAATATTTCAATGCTTATGTTATTTTACTTCACTTGAAAGATAGCATTCTACTTTCCATACAATTAATACTTTAAAAATATTTAAGGTTTGACCGGCTACAAGGAGAAAAATAAGATAATTTGTTGAAAAGTTCATTTACCAACGGTGCAAGTATTATTTTATTGTTTCAAGATTATATAATACTGGTAATGCTGGATTTGATTTGGTTAAATATTGGAATATTCACAACTTAGCCTGAAGTGTATTGTCAGCGTGATGAATCAGGGTGGGACCAATGTCCAGGTAACTTCCAGATGATTGTCTGGATAAAAGTATTTTCTCAAGTTCAACAATAATCGATGATAACTTTGGTCGATCTATGTCGTAATTTGGTTGATTAGGTATTGAATTTATGGCACCAGACGATGTTAAACTAACTAATGTCGACGAATAGAGATCTAAAGAAAGAGTGTAGGGATGATGGACGAGGCTGTCATCGTGGAAGAGGAGAGTTTCGGCGCGTCGTTGCGATTCTTTTAAAATGTTTTTGTCGGTTGGATCCTCCATTGTCGCATTATCCCACTGCAAAAATGGAAATATTCACTGATTATTTTCATTTCTATTATATCACCGAAATTCAGAACGCCAAACTAAATTACGAAGAAAAAGTTATGTGTCTATGAAAGAAGATAAATTTCCTGACACTTTTTCAGAAAGGCCTGAGTCTCAGAAACTATTTGTGCCGCACTAAAATAAGAAAATTGTCAGATCCAAGAAAGGTTTTAAAAACATCATGAAAGAGGCGTCTTGTGGGAACAATCTCCCCTGTTATCAAAAAATGTCTTGAATTCTCTCTAAGTAATATCTTCTGACTAATTTCTGAACCAAATTTTTTCAAGCTACAGTTTATGTTCCAGCTAATACTATCTTTAGCCTTTGACATTCTAAAAAAATTTTATATTCTCGTTCTTTTTCTCTTTCAATATATTTTACAAATATGCTGAGAGGAGAAGATAGAAGGAAAATTGGAATTAATGTGAATAATGTGAAGTTCATTGAATCTTACGTGATATAAAGTAAGACACGTAACACAGACGGCACTGACGAACGGTGAAATTAAATTACAAAGTAGTAGCCTAAATTTCTCATTAGTTCCATAAATAATCCGATTGTCCTCGAATTCGAAACAGTCCGCATTAATTAAAAATTCCATCTCGTGAGTCCATTCATTGGCAATCGTATCTGTACAGTCATCAGCAGGCAATGCAAATTCATTGCTCAATAGTTTTCTCAGGAAAATATATTTTTCTCGGGCACATTCTGTAAAAAAAAA